TGAAGATGGAAGAAGGTGGAGGCATTTTGTGAACTTTAATTTTGATGAATATATGTATATATATATATGATCTGTGTATGTATATTATTTTGGAAGCTATTATAAGCTCTATAATTTATTATATCTGAAATGTTGACTGGGTTGTGATCTACCCATTCAAATACAATTTGAACATAATATTTCATATTTAAAACTTTTAACTGATAGATTTTAAATAATAAAATTATTTTTTTTAAAAATGACAGTTAAGATATTGTCTTTATTTTAAATTTTTGTAACCATTAAAATAATTTTTTAAAAAAGATTAAAATAAATAACATAAATCTGAACTATTCAGATTATATCTAGATGGTCTAGATTGGTGATAAGAACTGAAACTCTATCCGTAATAAAACTATTCTCCATGTTTGGTTATTGCTTTGGCTAATAAACTTTGGGGGATGTAATTCCGTCAAAAAGTTAAGTTTGACAAAATTGGCAACATCTCTATTCACACCCTTATCATTTTAAATGGCTAGCTTTTTATATTCTCTTTCCCTCTCTATATGCATAAATATATGAATGTACGTATAAAGAATGTAGAATTGTAATAAACGTGTTTTTGTATTCTCCACTTTCAAATATTTGCAAGGCATGTGAAGACAGAATCAGAATAGGACGAAGCTAGAAAACAGAAAGAAAGTTTTTGGGAGGCCATTCATGTAATCATGCAAGCTTTGTAGTTTTGGAGTTATATGCAATATTGTTTTAAAAAAATAGATTAGATACAAACTTAGGGTTTGTTTGGTTTCTTATTTTAAAAACAATTTTTTGTTTTAAAAAACAGAAAAACAAAGAAACCTGTTTGGTAATTTGTTTTAATTTGTAACTTTTTTATTTTAAATACAAGGTAATAACTATGAATGAAAATACGACGGTACTACTGACATTGAAATGCCTAAAGGACTGTTAGTGAATGATTATGAAGATCCAATTGAAGGTATTGTCTCAGTAATTTATGGTGATGTCATTGCAAACCTTTCAAACAATGAATACTTCAATGATAGGGCAATACTTGCACTAAAAATCGAAATGATTGACAAGATTAATCAATACATGTGCTCTCTTTTGCCCAGTGAAGCCCATGAGTTCTTCAGTTCAAATTCAGTATGCAAGTTTTTGAATCAAAATGACAGCTTTGACAATCTATACACTACTGAATTTCTGAACACCATTAGTAGCTCTGGATTGCCACCACATGAGCTAATGTTGAAAGTTGGATCACCAATTATGTTGCTAAGGAATATAGATCAAGCGGAAGGACTATGTAATGGTACACGACTTTGTATTACAAAGCTAGGCAAGACTGTTATTGAGGCAATTACGTTGAATGGTTCAAAACCAAATCAAAAGGTTTTGATTCACCGAATGGACATGAACCTATCAGAAAGTAAATGGCCTTTCAAGATGAAGAGAAGACAATTCCTTATTACTTTGTCCTTTGCAATGACCATCAATAAGAGTCAAGATCAGTCATTATGTTATGTTGGAGTATACTTATAGAAGCGTGTGTTCACTCATGATCAACTATATGTAGCACTAACAAGAGTCAATTGCATAGATGGTTTGAAAATTGTTCTTCCAAAAAGTGCATCTACGAGTGAGAAGACTACAAAAAACATTGTGTATAAGGAGATATTTAGCAACTTATAACTTGATGTTGTTGTATTGTGTCAAAATTCCGGTTGTTGAGATGACTTATTGTTTTCTTAATGTATTCACTCACTGTGTGTTCATTATGTTTAATTAAAAGTGTTGCTAAAATTGTTTATTAATTGTTTGCCCCATAGAAATATTAATGTATAATTAAAAATTAGATTGCAATGAATGCTTCCTATGCAGAGTGCAGGAGAGGTGGTGTTAGTTGTTTTCAAAAGCAAAAAAGAGTAACATGTTTTTAAAAACTAAAAAACCAAAACAACTTTTACATGTTTTTGTTGTTTTTGTTTTTTTATTTTATATTTTTTGTTTTAAAAATTTTTGAGAAATTTTTTTCTTTTCTTACCTACTATTTACCACATATCATTACCAATGATAAATATCATATCCAAACAAATTCTTTTGTTTTTTTTGTTTTCAAAACTTGTTCTAAGATAATTTTATAAAATTGTTTTAAAAATAAGAAAACAAAAAACAAAAACAAACAATTATTTCAAGTAGTTTTATACAATTCCGACTTATGGTGCGCAAATCATCGTTCCTTTTTTTTTTTTTTTTGACCAGCCACGAATCACTATTCGAAGATATCAATAATATATTAACGTATACATTTCTTAGCTAAAATAAAAATAAATCAAACTAATCCTTTTTACCCAAGATTAATGATTCTAGCCGGTTTCTTCCTAACACCATGAGTCGTTGATGTCAATAAGAAATGAACACAAAAGGCTCTATAATACTTTATCGGATATTTTCTTATTTAAAATTTAAAGCTAATAGATGTATTTGTAAACAACCTTTAATTGAATGATTATTTGTATGGTGTCAAAGGAAAAAAAAATTAGTTGTTACTTAAATGAATTTTACTTTGTGAAGCGTTCAAACTACATTTAATTGTGAAAATGGAAAGAGAAGATAAGAAATTAAAATGATGCGAAAATGAATGCACATATGATTCACTTTTCATTGACAAAAGACTTCAAGACTCGGAATGTGTTGTTACTTGACTATATGAAAAAAAAAAAAACAAGAAGACTTGACTATAAAAAACGTGATGTGATTAATTATTAAATAATTATAAAATTTGTTGGGTCATATAAAGGTTGATCTAAGACTTGACTACAAATTTTGAAAAGATTACACATAGGTCCCAACCAATACAATTTATTAATTTACGATCTCTTGAAATCTCAAAATGAATAAGAGGTCTCATGGGATCTGAGAGTAACTTATTCTAAATAAGAAATTACATCATCGTCCTTGTCTAAATTGACAAGCTCATGAGCGTAGATTAACAAGTCAATGGGAAACTATTAATAAGTTAGGGGTACTGGCTGACAACTAAATTTATGAAATGATATAACTTTCACATAAGATCGAATTATAATAAAAGAGTATTATAGAACAATTTTTAACCTAAAATCATATGTAACCAAAGCATGCAGAGATATTAGATGAAATAATGGGTTTATATTATAATTTTGTTGCAAACAATCATTAACAAGCCCATGAGTGTGGATTACCAAGTCAATATTGACAAGGTAGGAGGTGTTAATCGACAACTAAATTCATGGGATGATATAAACATTCACATAAGATCAAATTAGGAAAAATTCTTATATAATATTAATAAGTGCAAGGGCTTGTTCTATAACTTGGCATGAAAAATTGTCCCCTACTATTAATTTGTTGCCTCTGTGTGAATTCAAGTTTATGTGGCTCCAATTTAGTCCTACCTCATTTAGTGCCACACACACAAAAATTCACACACACACACACACACACATGTAAATTTTACTGTTACTCTGAGGACAGTGTACCAAGATGAACGAAACGACTAAAATTATACAGTCAGTTTTGAATAAAGGATTGGCGTATGCTGCAAATCATGAAAAGCATGTTTTCCCAAAGCATTGAATGACAGTTAATTTGTTGGCATTTCTTTAGCTTTGAGCCACAAAACCACTTCTTGGATCTCACCGCGCCAAGTATCAAGTGATGCATTTGATCCCCAAAAAAAAAAAAAAAGCATCGTACTCATGATATTCAGCTTCTTAAATTCTTAATGTGCTGCTATATGCAATCTACACATGGTATCTGTCCTTGTTCTACAGCTCATTAATCTGTCCATAAAACAGATTCTAACGATTGGGAATCTGTAAAACGCCAACAAACATGAATCAAAGGAAGAATCTCAGCTCTATCTATCTTCTACGTTTCTCTTATTTCAAAACTCATTTAATATTCTTTTAGTCCCTTCCTTTTTGTAATCTTTAGTCCAGTGGGTGATTTCTCCAGTACGAATTTTCTGGTTCAGAAACATCATTCATATTTCGCATTTGATTTCCATAGTAATATATTAACTGCTGAAAGATGTTAAAAAGCCAAAAACAAGGTGGGATTTCGGCATTAGAGGAGTTTAGAAGATGCGCAGGTTTTAGCCGTCAAATTGAGGGCATAAGGATTGATGGAGGAATGAGCTACTGGGTTATATAAGAATTTTCTTTAATTTAATCTTATGTGGAGGTTATATTATTCTATAAATTTAATTGTTAACCAACACTTCCTAACTTGTTAATAGGTTCCTATTCATGTGTTAATCCATACACATGAGTTTGTCAATGGTTTTTGCAATAAAATTATGATATAAACCTATCATTTCATCTAATATCAATCTGCATGCTTTGGTCACAGGCAATTTCAGCTTAAAAATTGTTACATAATATTCTTTTGTTATAATTTGATTTTATATGGAGATTATATTATCTTATAAATTTAGTTGTCAGCTAACACTCCCAAACTTGTCAATCACTTCTCATTGACCTGTTAATCCACTCCCATGTGCAACACCTAACTTTTATATACTAATAGGGTCATGTTAATGTCTATACTAAGCCAGGTGTCTATCCCAAGAAAAATTGGGTATTTTTTTTCCAATTTAAAACATGAACCATTTGGAATTCGCTATTAAAGAAATTCAAAACTTTCAAAAACCCCAACTAGTGACCTATAATCAAACCCTATTCTTATGCAGTTTAATAAGAGACTTGAAGCCTTCATTAACTAACAAGTCACTATCCACAAGTAGAAACAAGGATCAAAGTTTAGTAATGAATACAAACATATAGCTATACCAAAGCCATCTCGGTTGATGGCATTTGCGTGTGCTTGATTTATGTAGACCTCTTTACAGAGGGTACAAGAGAATATCTACATAAAGCAAGTATTGGTTACTTGCCATGATTATATATATAACTGTATAATTAACTTCACTAAAAAAATAAGCTACTATATAAGATACAAGATAATGCGGGCATTCTTGCTCTTCATAACTGCCCACCTTCTTCTCTTACAATCTTCTTTTCCTTAGAGCTGCTCACCTTTGCTATGTATCATGGAAGGAAGGGTGAGATTTCAAAGAAGCTCCATAGTAGTAATTTCCATCAAATTATGTAAAGCTTGCAAAACAAGCCAAAGTGAAACATAACCTAGCAAGCTAATGTGGCGAAGAATTTATGCGCAATGACAAATAAACAAGCTAAATAAATAATGAGCAAATAATTGGCAGATACTGTCCCATGTCTATCAACTACACGTGATCACAGCTAAATAATCTATACAAGGAATTTAGGATTACATGTTCTCGTGCTTTAAACAGCAATATGGCACAAACAGATATTCAGCAATCATACACAAGTTTAAGATGGGAAAGTACTACTACCTGAGACTCCTACTTCGAAATTAAACCTTACTTTCTTCCCTTCTTTTAGCTTCCTCAGTGGGTTTTTGCAGATATCAAAACCTGTTATGTTAGTAAGGGTAAGTTAATGCTTGATCCAATATAATTCATAAGTAAATAAATTTCTTAAATCCCATTTTTCTTTAATTTTCACCTTTACTTGATAATTAGTCACCCTGAATAATTTTTGTTATTCGAACTATTTTTTTTGGAAGGTTATCTCCCTTATTTTAACCTATATAGTTACTTTGCTTAGTAACAGGTCATTTTGGTCAAAAATATTATTTTTACATATTACATTAACTTGTAACTTATTTTAGTTTGGAAAAATGCTCATTCATATTTCATAACTACTTGATTATTATTAATCTCTTTAACTCCATACAGCCTTTCAATTAAATGTGGATTTAATTTTCCAGATTGAAGGATAACACTTAATAACTTTCTAATCCATTACCTAACTCTACGAGGAATTCTTAGGTACTCTCAGAGTACCACTTAACTCATGCTCTGACCAATATAATTGTGCCAATTATTCAAAATATAATCTGACGTGAAATCATTTTAATTAAAATATTATCATAAATGTTTTCTAAAAAAGCAGGCATCTTTAACAGCACATTCTTCTCTCTCTTCTATTATCGTTCAATCCTGTCTCCCTCTGCCTCACCATCGACACCGTCCCTCGATTCAAGTTACCTTTTTTTTTCTTCTTCTTCTTCTTACCCCATTTCATCTTGCATCACTCCCATATCACTCCCTGCTCTCAAAAATCTGGATACTCATTCTCAAAACACTGGTAATAGCATTTCTCGTGATGGCCCATTCTCGTCAGCTTTGTCTAAATAAAAATGAGACAAAGTTCAAACCACGAGCGACGGGATGCTAAAAACGATGGTGAGATCAACAAGTCAGGGGCTATTGCTATACCAAATCCATCACAAGTAATGCAAAAAGATGATGATGGCATCTTGCAACAAAATCAGAAATTAAAAAGTTTCTTAATTTTTATTTATTTCCATTATAGTTTTTTTAGGCAATGTATGTCTTTTTCAGTTCTTGAAAACGGAGAAGAAAGGAGTGGAAGCGAAATTATTCAATTAAAACAGGGAGAGAGATGGGTGGGGCGGGTGAAAAAATCATATTAATGATTGGAGAGGGAGATAAGCAGATGGCTGGGGTGCGAATATGAAGAAGAAACTTTACGCCAACGGGGAAGCAGGAGGGAGACGGGACTGAACAATGATGGAAGAGAGAGAAGGTTGCGCTAGTGAAAAACTGAAAATGCCCGCTTTTTCAGAAAACATTTATGACAATATTTTAATTAAAATGATTCCACATCGGATTATATTTCAAACAATTGGCCCAATTATAATGGTCAGAGCATGAGTTACGTGGTGCTATAAGAGTACCTAAGAATTACTCCTAACTCTATATATACAAGCTTAGCACTCAATATCGGACAAGACCCAAAGTATATTTAATTTGAAGTTCATCTTTTTCCAACTCCATCACTATTAATCTATTTATCAACTTCGTATCCTCAAACACACTTTTAATCTTCCACATTAATTCAAACCATCCTTCTTGTAAGTTTCAGAATAGGTTTCAGATTTACTTCCATTAACACTCAACCTCCCACATGCATGTATTCTCCCATAGCCTCATAATCCTCTTATACAGACTTTAATCTATGCCAGCATATCCTCTGTTCATTTAAAATTTCTATTCATCGGTTGGTAACCTCAAGCAATTTCAACAATAAATTTTAAATCAATTCCTCTATCTTTAATAATCTGGAAATTATTCCTAACTTCAAGATATCACTTCAAGCCTATCCATTAAAACTTAGTGTAATCGATCTTCAATCTAAAATGTTCAACTATAATTTATACTACCTCCGGTCCTAATTATAAGAGCCAGTTGATTAATTTGAGGAAATTAAGAAAAGAAGTTAAGTTAGTTATTTGTAATAAATAGGTGTTGTCTTTTCTAAAATATCCTTACTAATCAAGTATGTTGGTTAAAACTATAATTATTAGAAGGACTATCTTGAAAAAAATTGAGTAAATATGAAAGACAAAATGGATTGGGGTCTTATATTTAGGACCAATATAAAAGTTAAACGGGGTCTTATATTAAGGATCGGAGGTAGTATAACAAAATCACTATTTATTCCATGTGCAGACCTCAAACAATAAAGCATTTATAGCTTCAGGATTAACATTCCAACAATCCAATCATCCACCATCATCACATGCGTAAAATCCACAGAGATGTATATTCCTTTTACAGAATTTTCTTTCAGATTTGGACAGCATAATGCCATTATTCAATAGCGTCAAATTTTATAACCTTACCATCAACAACTTTACCTACAATGATATCTAATTTACATTATCTATATGCTAATATGATTATTAATAATCAGCAACTTCTAGGGCTTAATCTTTAACAATTCAATCAGTTCTCTTTCTATTCACCTCGTCCAAACTTCAAGATTGAAGCAAACTCTTGCCTCATTTCTTAACATCAGTCTTCATTAAATCTGCAAATTTTCCAGCTTCCCTCTTAGCTTTCAAACCAGCCTTTATTATATTCAAACATGGCTAAGATAGTTGGGGAAATATTTGACATGAGTAAGTATTAAACAAGACAGTTGAATAGTCTTACAACCACTAAAATCTGAGTTCCTCACGTCACATTATCTCACACACACACACACACATCTTTTTATCCATACTTGTTCCGAAATTATTTTTAATGTTTAAGTTTTGTTTCACTATCTTTCATTGAACCTAACTCCATAACCCAATGAAACAGCAACCTTCAAGCTTCACAACTTCAGTTTAACCATCCTCTTCCAGTTCCTCAGTCATAAAATATTCATTTAACGTCCGGGTAAAATCCAACAAATTAATTACAATCAGTTTCTAACTTCAATATTTTGTCACAATCAACTATCCATGTATTTGTGTGTGTTTCAATTTAATTCCCCATACCACACACACCCAAGCTTCAGTCATATACACACACCCCCCCAATTTATGCTCTTCATTTTCTCATCAAACAACCCACATCATCTCTTTGAACCATTACCCCTGTTTCGGACACTAAGAACCAGAGAAGAAGAGCAACAAAATTATCTCCATAGATCAGTCACGAGTTACACAAAATTGAAGGAGAAAGTGATATGCAAACCCCTGTACAATCTATTTGGACTTCAATCTACCTCCTTCAATTCGGCAAACTTCACCCATTTAAATTCCATAGAGTTAGGCGTCATAAAGCAGAACAGGGGCTGGAAGATTGAGTTTTGGAATCATCAAAAACATAGCCCAACAGCACATGCAACACTACCATTCACTTGTTTGAGCTCGCAACTACATCCTCCCTCCAATATTCCATTCGATTCATAGCTTTCTTTGATAACCCAGATTTTTCATCTATCATCATTTCCTTCAAGGTGCAGAAAACGAAAGAAATAAAGGTAGGAGAGTGTTAATCGGTCTTACCTCAGTCAGAAAACACTATTGCGTGTAAACTTCCCCCCTCCGATCACCACTTCGCCGGCGACGCACTTCTCTCTCCCTCCTGCGTCTTCTGTCGGTCTCTTTCTGATTTCCTCATGATTTACAGATGAAGAATGAGGACAGAGAGGGCGTGTTATCAGATCATAAGGGTAGGAAAAATGAAAGGACCATTTTGCCCTTTAATCATTTCTTATTTCCAATTTCATTGTTTCACTAAATTTCTGAGATCATGGAATAAATCCAGAAACTTTTTTCACAATGTTTTGTGTGAATTTTTTTTCCTTCTCCATTAATTTCTTTGACCCGTAAAATAATTTCTCTAAAACTTAATATCAAAAGTCAACTCCTAACTATTTTTTTGGAATTTTTAATGAAATAGCCCTTGATTCCAGAAATTAATCCTCAATTCATTTTAAAGATTTTATGCCTTAAGTAACTTCTTTACTTTATAAAATAATTATCCTAAAATTTTTGGCTCAAATATAAACCTCTGACTATTTTGCCTTAAACTTTCTAGGAAAATAAGCTATTTCTGCACCAAAAATTAACTTTAAAATTATTTAAGTCATTTTTGGAGAAATAACTTATCCAAAATATGTCTAAACCATGAAAATAAATATTCCATAATTTTTTTCAATTTTATTTGACCATTAAATAATTTTAATGAATTTTTTCTTTTCTGCTCATCCTGAGTCAGAAAATTCGGGGTGTTACACCATCAACTTGTCGATTGGCGACAGAGACCCTAACGTAATTTCTCCCATGGTATCTCTTATCTATTTTGAGATTTCCAAGGTTCTAAGATTAATAAATTGTGTTACTTAAAATCTATGTAATATTTTCACAAATTTTTTTGGCACCTTTACCTGACCTTGACTTTTTATATAATTCTGATTTGCGCATAATTGTGCTTAATGTTAGTAGCAGTCTCACCCAAGAGGAGGGTGAATTGGGTGAGTTAAAAAAAATTTACGAAATTAACACCAGACAATATCAAAAACAAAGAGTTAGAGTTGGGAGGGATTTCACCGCAGAGAGGAAGACACAGGATTTATACTGGTTCAGTCTTAACCACTTGACCTACATCCAATCCTCTGAACACCTCTGAGTATATCACTATCTTCCAAGATTGATCGGGCTCTTGGTGCCTCAGTACAGTAATTGAATAACTCAATCACTCCCCCTTACTCTTGTAAGGATACAAACCCACTCAAGAGTCCACACTCTTGAGTATCACTCAGTAGTGATTAATGAAGGATAGATATTGACTCTCTTACAGAGTGAATTTAATGATGAACACTGACGCTCAGTAGTATTGAAGAAACAGAGTATTGAATGCTAAACAGAATGATCACAGATGGTAGCTCTGGTATTCAATCCTTTCATTAATGCTTCTTCACGCCTTTTATAGTTGCGGTCGTTAAGTAACCGTTGAACGGATGAGCTTCTAGCCATTGTGACTCCGTTTGCGTGTTTTCCCAGTTACAACGGTTCCGCCATTAATGCTTCTGCGTTTCCGACATAGTAGGTTGCAAGCTACTTAATACCGTTGAAGAGCTGTTGTGACTTCTCTTCGTAATCTGCAATCATATTTTACACTTCAATAAGTTAGATCCTGCAGTGTAAGCAAAACTGAATAAATGATAATCTGATTGCTCCATGATTTCAGGTGAAATCAAAAGTCTGATAAATGTGCAGAAGGATAATCTTGACAGTTTGATCGAAGTGATGATCAATCACTGGTTGATCGATCAAGTTATAGATAAACGGAGTTAAGGTTCTTTGGATCAGTTGAAAAGGATTATCGATCAGATGATGGAACATTGATTTATCGATCCAGTGATAGATAAAATGCAACAGAAAAGCTTACGCTGATATGTAAACCAGAGTCTCTTTGAATATAAATCTCTTAGCAAAATAGTCATGATGATTATGCAAACTAAGATCAGTCTGGAAGTAACTTGATAGGTGAATATGAGAAGTATTATAACTAATTGAATTTGAACTGACAGTGTTCCATGATCGATCAGTTAATCAAATATTTGTTGATCGATCAATTTATCGATAATTCAAGTGTTACAGAAATGAAGCACATGTTGATCGAACACATTATCGATAAGGCTGTGATCGATAATGTTATCGATAAAGGTCAAGTGTAAAGCACTCAATGAGAAACAAGGATAGCAAGAATTATCGAATAGGTGATCGATCATCGATCAATGCATATTCGATCAGCTTATCGATAAACAGTGAAGTAAAGAATTTGTTCTAAAGTTGTTTATCGATCATGTTATCTGAAAAAGTATTATGTAAGAGAGCTTAATTATCAATAAGGTTATCGATAATTTAGTTCTAGGAAAACTAAGTAGAAACAACTGGAACATAAATTATCGATCATGTTATCGATAACTTGGTGATCGATAAAGTTATCGATCAATAGTCTATAATCAGTGCCTGCATTCAGAAGGTTAGAGCTGAATGTTCGATTATATTATCGATAAACAAGTGATCGATAATGTGATCGATAAACAATGACAGAATCAATAAGCAAAATAGGTAGAGTGTCTTACCATTTATCGATGTTGTTATCGATAACTTATTTGTCGATCACTTGATCGATAAAAGCAGTTCAGATGCACTTCTTTTTATCTATCACTTAAATCGACAGTTACCTTATATGACTTTTATGTTAGCGATAATCGATCAATGAATTATCGAACAGCTCATCGATTAAAATACTTAACATTTAACTGATTTACACTGAAGAATTATCTGACAGCTTATCGATAATCATTTGATCAATCAACACACTTAACCAATTTAATCTAACTTTGTTATCATCAAAACCATAATCCTAACACTTAAGAACTATGAGAAATTCACTTTATACACCTACCACACCAAGCTCTATTAATTTTCAGACTCTCCTTGTTTCGTATTTGAATTGTAGGACGTTGCTAGGCGCATTTTCTGCAGTAGTAACGTCACTACATTTTGGCTGCAAAGAGCTCATGTGTGGACTGTTATGTTTTATGAAAAGAAGTTACAAAAGAATATAAAGTACAGATTCTATATTTTATGAAAAGATTCTTCCTTTGTACGGTATATTTGACAATTATATGCGACACCAGTTAATGTATGATCATTTGTCCAAGGCAATACAAGTTTGTATATTAGTCCTTCCTTAAGGGAATATATAGTTACAGGAAATGGTTGATTTGCCACATAATCGTCCATCCTTCGTAGATATCAGTTTCTTGTGGCATCACAACAGAGGCTTGGAAACTGACTTTTGAGGATTAAAAAGCTGCTTCAGAGAACCTTCATTTATGTTTTTAGGGTTAATACAAATTTTAATCCCTGAAATTTAAGCTTATTTTGGTATTTGCTCCTGAAATTTCGAACTTGTGATTTTGATTTTTAAAATTTTGTTCGTTTCAAACCGGTAATCCTTGGTAACTTCATGCCATTAATTTTGTCTGAGATGGCACTAATACCGTTGACTTGATGATGTGGAAAGACAAGCTGGCACATATATGGCATGATGATGTGGACATATTGTTAAAGAAAGGGACAAAAAAAAGGCAATAAGTCAAATAAAACACGCCCAAAAAACAAAAGAAAAGAGACGAAAAAAAATAGAAACTGACGATTGAAGAACGAATAGGGAAAGGGGAAAGGGTTAGGTCAAAAGGACTGACATTACCAGCAAAGAGTGACATGGTCGTCACTGGAGCAGTGGGTTTACTGGTGGTTGTCACGCGAAGAACCTTTGCCTAGCAATTTCATCAACTTCTCGGTTCTGAGTTTGATTATTTTGCTTTGACAGATTATTTTACTTCTGGTTGCCCAGCTCTGAGTTTAAATATTCTGCTTTGGCAGGTTATGTATTCCAGACTGTTTTTAAATCCAGGTCATGCACACTGCTTTTGGTACATCAAATCATCATCGTCATCATCGATATTAATTAGCTGAAATCCTCATGGAGATCTATTTAATTCTGAGATATTTCCAAAATGTTGCAGAGGAGCGTCTATCTTTTGATGAATTTTATGGGCATAGGTTTCTGATATAAGTCATGGGGTATTAGCAGCAATCCAAGAATTGAAAGGAGTTGTGAGAAGAAGAGTAAGTGGGGATTCAAAGCAGCATGTTGCTTGGTAATGCTATAGATAATCCGGTCAATTTGCTTTTGAATGTTGACCAAAGCATGCAAGAGCAAGAGAGGTCGGAACTTGCAATCGATAGGCCACAAATGATTTTAAACGGCTTTGCATTCAACCGGTCCTCTTCTTGCCTTCATCGGCCCTGCTCCCCCACTGAACCTTCGACCGTGTTCCTTCTTTATGCCTTAATAAAAATCCAGATTATTTGGTGTGTGCGACTTATATGCGTTTTACCTCAGCTCGCCTTTGTTTATTTTTTTTCCTCTGGTTATCCAGGTCAGCGCTCCCTGACTCATGCCACATGATCAGCTCACTCTTCTATGTTAGGCGCCATATCATCATGTTAACAGAATTACTGCCATCTCAGCAAAAATTAACAATGTGAAGTTATTAGGAACTAACAGTTTGAAACGGATAAAATTTTAAAAACTGAAATCACGAATTTAAAATTTTAAGGACCAATATCAAAATAGGTCCAAATTTAAGAGACTAAAATTTATATTATCCCATTTTTTTAATATAATGCTTTCAACAACTTCTGCATCTCAACCTACTTTAAAAATGAAGTAAACTTAAGGGCTTATTTGACATCAACATGGAGTGATTTAAGGGGTGTTTGGGATCCGCTAAAAATATTTATTTAAAAAAAAGTGATTTCATGTAAGTCGAGATAAAGATCTTCTTATATGCTTATCTCAAACTCCGTAAAATCACTTCTAAGAAGTAATTAGGGTTTGTTTGGATTACCAGTCAGAACAGTGACTTTTATTTCATCTAACGTGTACAAACGTAAGTTAGGATAAAAGCCAATTAGTATGACATGATTTATGTTTGGATTAACTTTTATAAAAAAAATTAGTTTGGCAAATTAAAACTTATTTAGATGAGT